ACTGGTGTTCTGGGGGAGGAGGACCCAAGGTTCAAACTCTATTTTTCTGTGGGAGAAAATGATTGCTCTTTAAAAGGATTTTTGAACCCTGGGTCCCCAGGTGTCCACCATCCTTTAGCTGAAGTGACATTTCCGTGGCAGATGGTACAAATAGCCTGGCATGCTTTGTAGCTGTTGGATCACTACAGAAACAAATCTGCCAGATGGCTGGCATGTTCCTTGGCAGGAGCAGGGGGCCCTGACTGAAGGGGGGAGTGAAGCTGCCCAAAATGCAGCGACAGCATCCGAACATTCTTTGAAGCCCTTTTTGCTGCAGCTCTGGGCTGGGCTGGGTTCCTGCTGTCTAGGAAGGAGAGCTCCTGTCTGAGTGTGTGCCAGGGGCTGCTGCTCTGCCTCTCCTGTCCCTGTCCCTGCCATTGTCCCTGTCCCTGCTGCCAGGAGCCCCCAGCACAGAGCTGGGACCCCAGGCCCAAGGGGATGTCCCATGTCCCATCCAGCAGGACACTGCTGCAAACCCCTCAGGCAGCTCCTGGCCCTGCCCCACAGGGAACAAACACATCCACATAAATGGGCTCCTTCTCTCTCCCACCACAGGTGCACAGTGCACCAGGGGCTGCCCAGAGGTTTGTGCTGGGTGGGGGAAAGCCTGGAACTCTGTGCACCAAGGAAGGAGAAGGACAGAGCTCCCAAGGGCAGCTGCAGCAATGATCTATTTGCATTCTATCTATCTATTTGCTACAGGGATTTCTTTCCTCACCTCGGGTTCCCCATCAGAAGGAAAAGCTTGATCAGAGCAAACCCTTCACGTCTGCACAGTCCCTGTGAGCCAGTGTGTGCTGGGAGATGGCACTGAGCAATCCCCAGCTCCTGTGAGTGTCACACACCAGTGTGTGCTGGGAGCTGGCACTGAGCAATCCCCAGCCCCTGTGAGTGTCACACACCAGTGTGTGCTGGGAGAGGGCACTGAGCAATCCCCAATCTCAGTCCCACACCAGTGTGTGCTGGAAGGTGGCACTGAGCAATCCCCAGCTCCTGTGAGTGTCCCACACCAGTGTGTGCTGGGAGAGGGCACTGAGCAATCCCCAATCTCAGTCCCTGAGTGTCCCACACCAGTGTGTGCTGGGAGGTGGCACTGAGCAATCCCCAGCTCCTGTGAGTGTCCCACACCAGTGTGTGCTGGGAGAGGGCACTGAGCAATCCCCAATCTCAGTCCCACACCAGTGTGTGCTGGGAGCTGGCACTGAGCAATCCCCAGCTCCTGTGAGTGTCCCACACCAGTGTGTGCTGGAAGGTGGCACTGAGCAATCCCCAATCTCACTGACCTGGCCAGAGCTGTCCAAGAGCTCCCTGCAATCTCCACCTTCTGATTGCCTGCTGACCTTAATTACACCCCTGACACTTCTCAAAGGCAGTCAAGGGTTGAACATGCTCCTTCAGGAACATTCTGCTCATCTGCAGTCCCATTTTACCTTCAATCAACTCGTTTATTTGTTTAAACCAGTTGATGACCACTTATCTCCAGAATTCAAAATAAATGTTATCATTCTCAAGCGAGGACCAGCAAGATAAACGAATGTCAGCAAGCAGGAATGTGGGCCAGGCTGATGCAGACACAACCCCAGAGTGATGGAACACAAACAGCTCCAGCCTGCCCTGTGCTCCAGCCCCTCAGCAGGCACCAGGCAGTGCCAGGCTGGCAGCTGAGCACCACATGGCCAGGAGCTCTCCAAGATGGTCACTTCAATCCTGAGATAAACTTGTTACAGCTGCTAATGCCACACCTCTGGAGGCTCTGAGCTGAGCTCATCAGCAGCATTGTGTGTGTCCTTCTTTCACAATCACCCTGGCTTCAGTGCCTTAGGGCTCCTGCTGAAACCAGGGTAAGATCTGGAGTGCTGTGCAGCTACATTTGCAATCTGAGCTCAGTTTTAACCAATTCACAGCCTTCAAAGCTCTCCCCATCCTGGTGCAGATCCCACAGACATCAGAGTGATGGTTCATTTTGCCACGTTTAAATTAATATCCCAGAATTTCAGATTTTCCTTTGCCACTACTCTCTTTCAATTCCTTTCTCTGAATATTGGAATAAAAATGATTTTTTGTCTCAGCAGATTTCAGCCTTTGGAGATTACCTCCAGCTGGCAGACAGTAGAACAGCGACTGAATTAACCTGACCTGTTCTGAGCAAAGATCAAGAAGGAAAATGGAGAACTCACAGCTTGTTCTCAAGAACTTTCTGGCATTTCTGTGCTCCCTAGAAATCACACCCACCTGGCAGTCTGTGCCACAAATGTCTGACAGTTCCTCAGCACCCCTCATCTCAGCATCTCAAGTGTTCAAGAGACAGCAGCAGGAAGTGCAAGGTGCCCTTCAGTTTTGTTCCCACGAATGTCTCAGTGGAATAAAATGGAATCCATGTGGGACACTCTAATTCCTCCCCAAGGCAGGTGCATCAATTAATAACACAGTTCTGCAGTGCTGAGGAACATAGCAGGGCATGGATGGGCACAAGAAAGGCACAGGAGGAGTTTGTGAAGGTGAGAGGGCAGCAGGAGCAGGGAGGGAGCTGGGGCAAGGACACTCTGCACTCTGCAGCTGGAAAAAGCCACATTTAACTAACAAAGGAACAAATTTAACCAAAAAGCCACATTTAACCAATGAAGGAACAAATTTAACCAAATTCAACCAAAAGACACATTTAACCAACGAAGGAACAAACTTAACCAAAAAGCCACATTTAACCAATGAAGGAACAAATTTAACCAATGAAGGAACAAATTTAACCAAAAAGCCACATTTAACCAATGAAGGAACAAATTTAACCAAATTCAACCAAAAGACACATTTAACCAATGAAGGAACAAAGAGAAGGACTTAAGCAAGAAGATTCTTGCTGGAATTTAGCACAACTCAGGGACCCCTCGGCTTTGGCTGGACCCCTGAGGGTCCTGTGCACTCCAACTGGGAACAGCACACTCTAGAGAACTGCAAAGCCACATTAATGGGAAGCTCATGGCCTTTTTTTGTTTTGGAGCAGAAGGAAAATCGAAGTGAGGAGGAGCTGAGGAGCTCTGATCAGCCTGAGCTGCTCCCAGGAGCTCCTGGATTTCCCCAAGGGCTCTCCCTAGGGATGCTCTCCCAGCTCTGAGGCTGCTGCACAGGCACTGCTGTGTGCTGCATCTCTTTATCCCTGTCAGTATCCCCCTTTTTAGAGCTTTAATTGTTTTCTGTGCACCTGCCTGCCTTTCTGCAAGGGCTGGCAGAGCCGTGCACCCCTGGTTTTGCTGCATGAAAGACTCTGAAGGTGCCCCTGGAGGGGCCTCTGCTCCCCTGAGAGCTGCTTGTGTCTGTACCCTGGGGAGAAAGGGAATGGCACTTTCCACAGGAGAAGGGAAGTCTAAAACACCCAGAGAATTCCCATGAAAAGTTAATTCCTTTTTTTTTTTTTTTTTGGTACCAAAATAGAGCTTTTGATTAAAAAATCTACAGTTTTCAGGCAGTTCATGTCCAATTACTTATTTCCATTTTTTATGAAAAGCAGACCCTTTTGGGTAAGAATCTAATTTTTTCCAGAATCGGGAAAAATAAACATTCTGTCAAAAACAGTGTTCATACAAAAAAATGTGATCCATTTCAATTTGTTTGGCCACAGATGTATTATAGCTGTGTAAACAGAACTGTTCAAAGGTGGCAGTTGCACACTCCCACCCTCTTTTACTTGCTTCATATTATCTGTGCACTTCCTTTGTGAGAAGAAGATTAAAACATACAAAAGTTCAAGATCAGATATAACATCACTGCAATAATGTCTTAGAGCATTTGTTCCAAGGGGTGATTTAAATGGGCCCTCTGAACCTCGGCTCATGAATTTCTGAACATGGTGAACAAACACAAGGATGTGCTCAAAACCCACAGCATTTTAACATTTGCTTAAGAGGGTTCCAAGGACACCTGGGAGAAGTCTCCAATTGTCATGTTGGTTCAGCAGGGTTTACTCAGCAACTGTTTTGGGAATTTGTGGCTGCTGGCACAGCTCGAAAGGCAGAAATTCTGTCTTGCCTGACTCATCTTCATGCCAATCACACAATGAAGGTAACAGTTCTTTTCACTTGTTAGAAAAATTAGTGTCAGAAGAAAATCCTAAATGGAACTGTCTTGGACTAAGGTTTGGGATGAGATTTTCCTTTTATCATAAAGGGGAAAACAAAGCTGTGGAAAAACATTCTGGTGGATGGAAATGCATCAGACCAAAAACTCAAGGAGAGAGAAACTATTGAAAAAGGAGCTATTACAGGACTGTGAGGCACTGGAAGGTCCATTCACATCCAGCCTTTCCCAGTTATGTGTTTCAGACCTCTTAAGGAAAACCCAATTCCAAAGAATTCTGTATGAAATATCTGTGATCTCTAATTACCAATATCACATGATACTAACACTTATGGCAGCATCCCATTAATCATCACAATCCTAAATCTGTCTAGTTGAAAGCTGGGCCTTTCAGAACTATTCCCACTGGAGAACCAACCAATCTTCCAGTGACATTTAATTGGTGCTGTCCTGTTTAATCCTGGCTAATTCCCTGAATGCTGCTCTTTAAACAGGGTTAATAATAGCACATTTCTCCCAAGACATTTCTGTCTCACAAGATGGGAGGTCTTGAGGCAAAGCTGCATTTTATTATCAGCCTGAAGAGTTCCTAGAAAAATTGTACTTGGAAACCAGATGGGGTCATAAGGTGCTTCACAAGCAATAAAGAGAATAATGGAGAGATAAAAACTGGATGGCCTGAGGAAGCCAACCCCCCTTCAAGTGGACAGACTGACACAAAGGGCTGGGGTATGAATTAACTAATTAAACTCTCTGGACAACACAACAGAAACAAGAAATAAACCCAAGCTGGGTACAAACACACCCAGTTTCAGGCACTTAGGTGATGAGAGGATGTAACTGATGTATTTATGGTTCATTACAGACAGAGTCACTGCCCTGCCGAGTCTCACCTTCAGAGGCACCACTTGCATCAGGATGGCGAAGTTGGTGAGGTGGTTGCAGAGGCACACGGAGTAGTTGAGGTCCCCACTCTGCCTCACGCAGCCCTCGCTGGACCAGACGCCAGTTCCATTGCTGGGAGGCACAAGAACCAAACGTTACCCCTGCCAAAATGCACCTGCTGGGGGCTAAGTTCACATGCCCCGTGCTGCACAGGAGATGGAAAGCTCTGGAATCATCTCAGGCTGGAGACCCCCCAGCACTGTGACTGCCCTCTCAGCTCCATCATGGAAACAGCAAAGGAAAATATTCACCAGGACCAAGCACAGATCAGGCCCCTCCATGAACATCTCTAGAGATCTGTTCCCAGTTTTATAATCAATGAATGGTAACTGCATTCACATTACATTTTGCATCTCATTTATGGCATTTCACCCAGACCCATTCTGAGAACTGTAGTACCAGACAGGTCAATGATCCTGCACAAGCCCCAAATCAGAGTGTGTTCTGTGCTGCCTGACCCTTGCCCGGTGTCACAGCCATCCTGTCACAGCAATTCAGGCTGAGAGCCCCAACTCCAGCCTCCCATCCCTGTCAGCTCTGTCCCTGCACCCAAGGGGCAGCCCCTGCCCCGTGTGGGGATGGCTGGGCAGGGTGTGGGGGCTGCTCTCAGCATCCTCAGGCACTTTGCTCTTTGCTTTTGAGCAGCGATCCTCATGAGCTTGCTCTGCCTGGGACAAGCCAGAATTGCCTGTGCCCTGCCAGCCTTGGGGTGGGGTGGGGACCCAGAACCTCAGGCAGCACAGGCCACCCACCCCACTCTCGGACAGGAAATATTTATCTCTTCTGTGTTTCTCTGGGTCCTGCAGATGGACTGAGGGACCTGTGCTCCCCTCAGTGCCTGCTTTAAAGGGAGGTATTACCTCATTCTCCTGCCCTTCAGGACCTCCTTGAGTTCTGAGAGACTCTGCTGTGGGGCAGAAACCAAATTAGCCATGGTGCACAGGGAATAAACCCATCCTGGCACAACGGGGCTCATCTGGAAGGACAGATTTCATAGCTGGGTTTGTATCCTCACAAAGCCCCCAGGGCCCCAGCCCCAGCGGAGAGCAATGCCCCAGCCATATTCATGGCCTTCATAAAACCTGCTTCTAATTGATCCTAATCTGTGAGTAACCATAACAACGAGGAACTGCCAACAGCTGGGGCAGCTCAGCACAGGTGAACAAAACTTCAGGAGAACAATTACTGTGACCTTCCCAGGTGCATGGTGCTCAGGAGGGATCACAGCATCCCACACCACTGCTGCAGCAATTAGGCTTGCGCTGTTACAGCTCAAAACCTGTTAAACCCATGAAATTAAAAATTCACCATTCGTATTCCTTCTCAATGAGCTCACTAAGAGCCACGCATTTCAAAAGGAAAGAAATAAATGTATTCAATGCTAAAAAAAAGAAATAAAAAATAAAAAGCTACTGCTTTTCCATAGCTCTTATTTTCTGAGTGAAACTCTTATTTTCTGAGTGAAAATCGAGGTGATATTTATTTCCCCTTAATTCTAATTTGCATTCAAGATGGATCATTGCATGATGTTTATCCGTTCCATGCATTGGCCAGAACTCCCAGCTCTGAAATACTGATTTCACAGGCTGCTGTGGCACAGAGCCAGTGAAAACAGAGGCTGTGCTGGAGCTTTGCCACCCTGGAACATCCGAGCAGGTGCCCAAGTGGGCACACTCACAAAACGAGATAAGCAGGATTTGGATCAGGCTGCAACTCTGATCACAAAATGCTTCCAGTTCCCAGTTACCACCCAACCCAGGGGCTGGGAATACCAGGTCTCCTATGGGTGGTAAGAAGAAACAATCAGATTGTGGCTTTTATAAGCCAGTGGTTCCATTTCTTTAACCATTTCCATGAATGAAAGGCAGCAAGAAGAATATAGATAATACACAGCATCACAAAGTGTAATTTAATAAAACCAAGTTAAAGAATTTGAATTATGCAACGTACCTATAATCCAGAAATGCACAGTAAAGATGAACTCTGTTGCTTTTATTTAGTGCTTGGCTGTATTGCCTGGGCGTCTGCAAGAGAAAAACAGAAACCCTGAAGGAGCATTTAAATAGGGCTAAATTCCAGTATTCAGCTATTTCACATTCTCATTGCTACAATAATTTCAGGAGATTGATCAGAGATTAACACACCAGAACTGGCAGCGAAATTGTTCAGTCCTCACATCTTCAACACAAGCTCCAAACATGCAAAGATGGTATTCAGTCTTAATTTTACACACTGGGATTAAACTTTTTCTGCTCTGAATGAGGAATCTGTGCTCCTTTAAGCAAACAGCAAACCAGGATCACTGTTGTACATAAGCACAAATACTTGTGTTCATTTCTGCAGGACTGGGACATCACTCCTCAGCCATGCTTGGCTTCTTTGGGTTCTGTTCATCGTTTGTTCTCACTGCGCAATAAAAATGTCGCATTTTACGATTAATAACTCTGAAATATGTGCACCACAATGATCAACTCCCAGACATTTTCTTTCCACAACAGCAATTATTTTAAAACATACATTCAAACTGAAAGAGCCATGCTGTAATTCAGGATTTTATTTTAGCACACCTCAGCATTATAATGACATAATTTCTATCTTCCATAAACAGGTTTAGCAACTAACTCAATCTCCTGTATTCCAGAAGCTTTGAGATCCCATTCTCCACTCCGTTACATGAGCTTGATGACAAAATTATTCAAATTATATTGAAGTAACAGTTTGTTACAGACAAAGTATGCAAACTAGAGGATTTCCAGTGTTTGTTCAACCCTTTCTAATACATAAATCCCTAAAGTCCACATTACGTGGGCCCTGCCTTATGGCAATTTTTTTATTACAAAAGTCTCCAACATAAAACAATCACTGGTGAATTAACAGCTCTCGGATTATTGCGACACAGCTCTGCTGTCAAGACCAAAGATAATCAAGTTCTGCTCTCCTTGTTTTAGGGAATGAAGAAAAATCCCCTCCACCTCATCCTGCTGAAACTCAACCAAGTACAAGAGGTTCCTGATGCAATTCTCCTTCTCCTCTCTCAGGAGTGTCAGGCACAAGGTAGCACAGCTCCCTCCTGCCTGGAGATAACCAAGAATTCCTGCCTGGAGATAACCAAGAATTCCTACCTGGAGATAACCAAGAATTCCTGCCTGGAGATAACCAAGAATTCCTGCCCAGCCAGGGCCTGCAGGGCTCCTCGTGAGTGCCACACACTCCCAGCTGTGCTGCAGATGAGGACATTCCCCGCTCAGCCCACCCCTCTGCACAGCATAAAGGGAATTCTCTCATCTCCCTGAGCACATCCTTGGCCCAGGCCTGCAGCTCCTGGCCTCAGCTTTTCCCCAGCCCTTGTCCCAGGATGGGGCTGCAGGGCAGGGGCTTTGTGAGAGAGGACTGTCCCTCCAGGACTGTCACTGTCACCCCAGCAGTGTCACTGTCACCCCAGCACTGTCACTGTCCCTCCAGGACTGTCACTGTCACCCCAGCACTGTCACTGTCCCTCCAGCACTGTCCCCCCAGCACTGTCACTGTCACCCCAGCACTGTCACTGTCACCCCAGCACTGTCACAATCAGGACTGTCACTGTCCCCCCAGCACTGTCACCCCAGCACTGTCACTGTCACATCAGCACTGTCACTGTCCCCCCAGCACTGTCACATCAGGACTGTCCCCTCAGCACTGTCACTGTCACATCAGCACTGTCACTGTCACCCCAGCACTGTCACTGTCCCCCCAGCACTGTCACTGAGCAGCAGCTGTGCTCAGTGATGTGACATCCACCATCTCCACCATCTCTCCTGAAGTGAGCAACCCAGAGAGTCTACAGCTGCCTTGCATTACAAATTATTTCATTTCTGTGACAGACAGCAGCTAAAAAACCCTAGAAAGGGAGAGAGAGAAAGATCTGCTGTAATGACAGCAAAGATGGAGCAATAACTGCCATTTCTGATCTGTAAGATTTCTCTAGATAAATCTGGATTCTAATACTCTAAATGGAAGGGGCACCTCAGGGTCAGGTTGGAAGGAGACAGGGTACTGCACTCGTGCATCTTTTACCCAAATAAATCCCAGATGTATCTTTTACCCTCAATTACATTTCTCTGGCAAGGAACAAGTCCTTGTTTTTCTCCATCTTAACTCTAAACACAGATGTCACTCATTAGACAATGAACCACACCAAGCGAGGCTCTGACCTGTCCAGAGCTGTGTATGCACTCAGATGGAGAAAGAGTAAGTAAATAATAATAATGAAAAATAGATAAACAGATTAAAGAATGGCAAAGAAGGGTCTGTCCTAATTTGCCCTCTTATTTCTCCTAAAGAATCTGTCTGTGTTTTGTCACCCATTACATAATCTCCACAAGGCTTTCCAGTGCCATTTATGATAACTGCATGAAACTCTCACCTTCTGAGGCTTCCCTGAAGTTCTGCAGCAAACTGTCATTAGGACAGAGAGCCCCCAACACGTAAGAAACTGGCTGCAGAGGAATAAACTCCCTCTGATCTTCAACAGCTCTACTTCAAAGTGCTCTCTAATCTATGAAAAAGGAACTGACTGTACCTCAATATCGCCCTTTTAAAGTTAAACTGTGTGTGACAGCTTGGATGTGGCTTGGATCCTGTAGAACTGAGGATATTGATTTAATGACATTGATAACAGAAAGCTTAAAATACAAGCAGGCCTTTACACTAAAAGATTAAGTCACTTGAGTGTTTATTAAAAGCCTGTGAAAGGACAGTTTATGAAGCTTTCAGGGGAGGGAAAGCAGCAGCACACTGAGTAATCCAGGATCTGTGCGTGTGCTCCCTGTAATCCAAATTATTCAAATCACTCCTTCTGCATGGAGAGGGCCACATGCAGCTGCTCCCAAAAGGAACTGCACTGAGAGAGGAAAAATCCCATTGAAAGAGGCACCAAAGCAGGGCAGAGCCAGTGCCTGCCTGGGAGCCTGTGCCCTGAGGAGGGACTGGTGGGACCCAGCTTGGGAGGGTTTTTCCTGCCTGAACAATTCTGTGTTGTCTGACCGTGTGTCTGTCTGTCTACACACCTGAGGGTCTGAGGGTCCTTTCCAGCCTGAATAACTCTGGGTTGTCTGTCCGTGTGTCTGTCTGTGTGCACATCCGAGGGTCTGAGGGTCTTTTCCAGTCTGAATAACTCTGTGTTGTCCGTGTGTCTGTCTGTGCTCACACCCGAGGGTCTGAGGGTCCTTTCCAGCCTGAATAACTCTGTGCTTGTCTGTCTGTCTGTGCTCACACCCAAGGGTCTGAGGGTCCTTTCCAGCCTGAACAGTTCTGCGTTGTCTGTCTGTGTGTCTGTCTGTGCTCACACCCGAGGGTCTGAATAACTCTGTGCTTGTCTGTCTGTCTGTCTGTGCTCACACCCGAGGGTCTGAGTAACTCTGTGTTGTCTGTCTGTCTGTGCTCACACCCGAGGGTCTGAGGGTCCTTTCCAGCCTGAACAGTTCTGTGTTGTCTGTCTGTGTGTCTGTCTGTGCTCACACCCGAGGGTCTGAATAACTCTGTGCTTGTCTGTCTGTCTGTCTGTCTGTGCTCACACCCGAGGGTCTGAGTAACTCTGTGTTGTCTGTCTGACTGTGCTCACACCCGAGGGTCTGAGGGTCCTTTCCAGCCTGAACAGTTCTGTGTTGTCCGTCCGTCTGTCTGTGCTGCCCCCACGGCTGCCAGCAGCGCCCAGGGCCCCAGGGCTGCTCCCAGGGATGTGCAGGGATGTGGGGGTGAGTCCAGCCCTCCTGGGAGCCAGGCACAAGCCATGCTGAGAGGAAGAGGAGGCCAGGAAAGGGGGGCGGAAAGGGCTGCAGGAAATGTCAGAACACGAGTGCAGAAGGAAAACAGGCAGCAGCTGCTGGGGGAAGGCTTGCCAAGGAAGAGGAGCCAGGCAGAGGGTGGGGTGAACCTTCACTTGCCTCTCCTCTCCTCCCTGGATTCCAAAAGCAAATATTCAGGCACACAGAGGTGGCCACCAGGAGTGGAGGGTTGGGCACCTTCCCTCTGCAGTGTGAAAGGGAGGCACCTTTGGGGCAGGGCTGCCACTGACCTAAACTCAGCAGCTCCAAGCCCAAGGAGCTGGGCTTCCTCTCATCCAAAGCAATGGACAATTTACCCCATCAAGCTCAATTTGGAGCCCACTTGTCTTTGTTTCCTCACTTATGTGCATATGGTTCAAAACAAATTTTGATTCTGTTTTATGGATTAAATGAGAGACTAAAATGATGCATCTAAGGTAAGGATTTCCTGTCCTCACAGTGACATCCTGGCTGTTAGCGTGACCTATTCAGGTTCACACGGTTTATTGACTTTCCTTTCCACCTATTTCTCCTAATTGCCCAGAAGATTAAAGCTTTAGGGTACATTCATCTACTCAGTTACCTGGAAAAAGACAGACAGAAAGAAGAATCACCCCTGTCTGTGGTGGCTTTATTGGCTGTTTTCTTCCAAGCTCTGAGAAATCTGCATTGCAACAGATTTGGGGCTCAGATCTGCCAACTATTTTAATTTAGAGTCCATTTGACTGATTCACCCTAAGATGTAACTAGCATATGTAATGAAAAAAAAATGGCAAATTGCACAAAAAGGAATTTAGCTTATGAATAGGGAATTAGAGTGTGTTATGGACAAGAGCCAGACTTTCAGATGTTTCATTGTTGTGAACAGAGCTGTGCCAACACACACTTTCTGAAGCAATGAACACAACACTTTCCAACAGGAAAGTCTGCTGAATGTATTTCCTAATGGGACAATCATACAGTTAAAAAACCTGCATGAAATCACCAAGGGTGGGAAGCTGTGACAGACTGCAATATAAAAGTAAAAATGAGTGAAATATCAGAGGTTATAAAGTCATCTGAAATTGGAGAAGGTTTCCACATGGATTGGGTTTGATTATTCCTTTGCCTGAGGCTAAAAATAGTTGACATATCAATTTCCTGCAAAAATAGTGTTAATCAAATATTTCACCAATATCCTTCCCCAGTTCTCAGAGTTGTCTATTTAACAGCTGCTGTACTGG